CTGCAAGGCCGCAGCAGCAGCAACAGCAAAAATACGGGGGCAGTTCGGCAAGTGCCACGTGGCGGTCCTTGCGGGCGTCATTGAGGATGCAGCAGCAGCAGATGCAGCAGCAGCAAAGCAAAAGCCGCAGCAGCAGAAGCAGCAGCAGCAGAAGCAGCAGCAGCGGGGCAAAAGGGCCACAATAGTAGCGTGCTTCAAGCTTCGGGAGTTCTCTGAAGCAGTTGAGGCGGAGCTTCAGCAGCTGCAGCAGCAGCAGCAGCAAAATAAAAAGCAGCAGCAGCAACCGTTGCTGCAGCGTCTTGCTGCTGCAGCAGCAACTCACCGCGAACTGCTGCTCCGCGATTTGCGCAGCGTGAGGGCAGCGCTGCCCCTTGGCGCAGACATTTTGGGTGTATGGTCACCTCTGCTGCAGCAGCAGCAGCAGCAGCAAGGGGAGAAGCAGCAGCAGCAGCAGCAGAAGCAGCAGCCGGAGGAGAAGGAAAAGCAGCAGCAGCAGCAACAGCCGCAGGAGGAAAAGAAGCAGCAGCAGCAGCAGCAGCAGGAGAAGGAGAAGCAGCAGCAGCAGCAGCCTCAGAAGGAAGGGGAACAGCAGCAGCAGCAGCAGCAGCCGCAGGAAGGGAAGGAGCAGCAGCAGCAGCAAGCGAATGAAGAGCAGAAACAGGAGAATGGGCAGAGTGCTGAGCAACAGCAGCAGCAGCAGCAGCAGCAGCAGCTGCTCGCGCTGCTGCAGCAATTTGCTGCTGCGCTGAACAAAGCTTTTGTAGACGACGCAGATGGGGAACCAGACTGCGATATCCCGGACTTCAGCAGCAGCAGCAGCAGCAGCAGCAGCAGCAGCAGCTTGCGGAATGACCGAATCGCCCTGGCACTTCTTCCTTCCGACCAGCAGCAGCAGCAGCAGCAGCAGCAGCAGCAGCAGAAGCAGACGGAGGAGGAGAAGCTGGCTGAGTCGTTCAAGGCGTTTGTCGTCTCAAGCCAAGAGACAGCAGCAGCAGCAGCAGCAGCAACAGCAGCAGCAGCAGCAGCAGCAGATGCGGCGCTGAGAGTTGCAGTCAAAGACGTGCGGCTGCTGTGGCAGCAAAGCAAAGAGTGGCTGCTGCTGCAGTCGCGGCTGCCTCTCGAGCTGCTGCTGTCTTCAGCAGCAGTAGGCGAGCTGCTGCAGCAGCAGCACGCTGCAGCCTGCTGCTGCAGCAGGGGCCTGCTGCTGCCGCTGCTCACTCCGCCAGCTGCTGAAGAGCTGCTGCAGCAGCTGCAGCTGCAGACGCAGCTGCTGCTGCAGCAGCAAGGCCTCTTCTTCTGCCTTCCAGACGGATCCTGGGTGTCACCCACTGCAGCAAACAGCAGCAGCAGCAGCAGCAGCAGCAGCACGCTGGCTGCGGCGCTTTCTGCTGCGAAGAAAGCTGGAAGGCAGCAGCAGCGGCAAGTCAGCAGCAGCAGCATCAGCAGCAGCGCCGAAGCAATGACTGGGTGTCTCGAATTTGCTGCGCAAAGCGCGCTGCAGTACCCCCAGCAGCAGCAGCAGCAGCAGCAGCAGCAGCAGCAGCAGCAGCAGATGGAGGGGCTGCTGCTGCAGGTGCCTGTGTGTCGCCGCCTCGGCAGCGGCGCTGCAGCAGCTGTGGGGTCCCACATTTTATGTGCTGCTGCTGCTGCTGGGGTTCCTGCTGCAGCAGCAGAGAGTGAAGGCAGCCTTTTGGGTCCTGCTGCTGCAGCGCTGTTTCCTGCAGCAGCAGCTCGCAAGGTGCTGCAGGCGGAGAAGCAGCAGCAGCAGCAAGACGTGCTGCAGCAGACACTTGCTGCGCAGCGCGCAGCAGCAGCAGCAACTGCAGGGAAGACCAGAAGCTGCTGCCTGCTGCAGTGCGATGTGCTGGTGCTGCTGCGGAGAGACACGCAGCAGCTAGCAGCAGCAGAGTTGCTGCTTGCTGCGCTGCTGCAGCAGCTGCGCTTCCTGGGCGCGTCTTTCTCGCAGATGGCAGCAGCAGCAGCAACAGCAGCAGCAGCACCTGCTGCTGATGCTGCGCAGCCAAAGCTGCGGAAAGGGCCCTATGGAGCTCAGCCTTTGCTGCTGCACTCTTTGCTGCTGCCAGATAATTTGTCGCTGCAGTTCTCCGTCTCTTTTGCTGCCTTCTTGCTGCAGCAGTTTGCTGTGCCTGTTGCTGTCTGCAGCACAGAGCAGCCTAGTAAGCAGCAGCAGCAGCAGCAGCAGCAGCAGCAGCAGCAGCAGCAGCAGCAGCGGCAGCAGCAGCACGGGCAAGAAAACAAGCGAACAAGCTGCACGAACCCAGAAATAGCAGCAAACAGACGCAGCAGCAGCAGCAGCAACAACAGTAGCAGCAGTAGCAGTAATAGCAGCAGCAACAGCAGCGGCAGCAGCTGCAGCGGCGGCAGCAGCAATAGCAGCAGCAACAGCAGCAGCAGCAGCAACAGCAACAGCAGCAGGTTAAAGCTGCTGTTTTTTCTCTGCTGCAGTTCTTCGAGCCTCATGGCTAGACTTTTGCTGCATGCGGAAGCTGCTGCCTTCATTTGTTGCACACTGCGCGCTGCACTGCAGCAGCAGCAGCAGTAGCAGCAGCAGCAGCAGCAGCAGCAGCAGCAAACTTATTTCGGTAGGTCTCCTAGAGGACTAATGGACTAGCGCGTTGCTGCTGCAGCTGCTGCTGCAGCAGCTGCTGCAGTTGCAGTAGCAGTGCTGCTGCTGCTTCAATGCATGCTGCTTTGCTGCTGCTGCAGCTACTGCTGCTTCTATGGCTGCCGCTTTGCTGCTTCTGGGGCTCGTGCTGCTGCTGCTGCTGCTGCTGCTGCTTTCTCTGCAGCCCTTGCTGAGTTTATCTATTGATCGCAATAGCGCCCGCTGCAACCACGCCGTTGCTGCTGCTGCTGCAAATGCTGCTGCTGCTGCTGCTGCTGCTGCTGCTGCTGTGTGCAGCCCCACCTGGGCTTGTGCACGGGCCCCAAGGGCTTCCGCCGCTGCCGTGCTGCTGCTGTGAGGGGCTTTTTAGAATACTTTCATTATCTGCAGGTTTGTTTTTAGCTGCTGCTGCTGCTGATGTGCTGCTGCTGCTGCTGATGTGCTGCTGCAGCTGCTGATGTGCTGCTGCAGCTGCTGATGTTCTGCTGCTGCTGCTGATGTGCTGCTGCAGCTGCTGGTGTGCTGCTGCAGCTGCTGATGTGCTGATGTGCTGCTGCAGCTGCTGATGTGCTGCTGCAGCTGCTGATGTGCTGCTGCAGCTGCTGATGTGCTGCTGCAGTCGCTGATGTGCTGCTGCAGCTGCTGATGTGCTGCTGCAGTCGCTGATGTGCTGCTGCAGCTGCTGATGTGCTGCTGCTGCTTCTCCTGCTGATGCGCTGCTGCTTCTTCTGCTGACGTGCTGCTGCTGCTGCTGCTGATGTGCTGCTGCAGCTGCTCACGTGCTGCTGCTGCTGCTCATGTGCTGCTGCTGCTGCTGCTGCTGCTCCGACTTGCAGGAAGTGCCGACCCACTGGGACATTCAGACGCTCCTAAAGAGAGCCGATGAGGCCTTTAAAGACCACCAGGTCAGCTGCTGCCCTTTCAGGTGTACAGACACTTCATTCAGGTGTACAGGCACCTCTTTCAGGTGTACGCTGCTGCTGCTGCTGTTGCTGCTGCTGCTGCTGTTGCTGCTGCTGCTGCTGCTGCTACTGTTGCTGCTGCTGCTGCTGCTGCTCCGACTTGCAGGAAGTGCCGACCCACTGGGACATTCAGACGCTCCTAAAGAGAGCCGATGAGGCCTTTAAAGACCACCAGGTCAGCTGCTGCCCTTTCAGGTGTACAGACACTTCATTCAGGTGTACAGGCACCTCTTTCAGGTGTACAGACACTTCATTCAGGTGTACAGGCAGCTCTTTCAGGTGTATAGGCACCTTTTTCAGGTCTATAGGCAGCTCATTCAGGTGTATAGGCAGCTCTTTCAGGTGTATAGGCACCTTTTTCAGGTGTATAGGCAGCTCATTCAGGTGTATAGGCACCTTTTTCAGGTGTATAGGCAGCCCATTGAGGTGTACAGGCAGCTCTTTCAGGTGTATAGGCAGCTCTTTCAGGTGTATAGGCAGCTGCTGTGGAGCTGCGGGTCTCATTTTGTTTGTTTTTTCGTTTTAAATTGAACAATTGGCGGAGTTTTTGCGATTTAATTCATTTTAATCGAAGTTTTAGAGAAAAGCTGCTCGCGCTGCTGCTGCAGGTGGGCACTCCGCGGTGGATCGGCACTGTGGAGGCGCACTTCGTGGTGGGTCTTCTCTTTGGCTGCGGCAGCCGCATTTTGCATTTGCAGCAAATGGAAGACTTGGAAGACCATTTCCAACTTTTGCTGCAGCACTTCCAGCAGCAGCAAACCCCAGTGCTCATCGGCGCTGGCCAGTTCGCCTTTTTGCTGCTCGGAGTAGCCCAGGACCTCGACACCGGTCCGCCTGCTGCTGCTGCTGCTGCTGCTGCTGCTGCTGCGGAGGTGCTGCTGCTGCTGCGGAGGAGGAGGTGCTGCTGCTGCTGCTGCTGCTGCGGAGGTGCTGCTGCTGCTGCTGCGGAGGAGGTGCTGCTGCTGCTGCTGCTGCGGAGGAGGAGGAGGAGGTTGCTGCTGCTGCTGCTGCGGAGGAGGTTGCTGCTGCTGCGGAGGAGGAGGAGGTTGCTGCTGCTGCGGAGGAGGTTGCTACTGCTGCTGCGGGGGTTGCTGCTGTTGCTGCTGCTGCTGCTGCTGCTGAGGTCGCTGCTGCTGCTGTCGCAGTTGCTCGGATTTTTGCCGCTGCTGCAGCAGTTGCTGCTGCTCAGCTGCAGCGCCTTGTTCTCATTTTGTGCGCCTTTTGTCTCTTTATGTTTCCTGTTTGCTGCTGCTCTTGCTCCCGCTGCTGCTGCTCTTGCTGCTGCTGCTGCTGCTTCTCACTATCGAGCTGCTGCAGCGCAGCATTTGCTGCTGCTGCTCTTCTTTTCGTTTCTTTTTTTCTCCGTTCTTCTCCCCGCCCTTGTCCTAACTCTCACCGATTAATTAATTAATTATTTTACTTATTTATTTATTTATTTATTTATTTATTTGTTTGTTTATTTTATTTATTTATTTATTTATTTATTTATTTATTTATTATGCAGGGGCTGCTTCTTACTTAATAATGGACCCGCACTATTTCGGGCCAGAAGATCCCAGAGCCATTTTGGACAAGGGCTGGGTGGCTTGGCAGAAGGTCTAATTTTATTTTTTATTTTATTTTTTGATTCTTTTTTAATTCTTTTTCGATTCTTTTTTAATTCTTTTCGATTCTTTTTGATCCTTTTTAATTCTTTTTAATTCTTTTTTAAATCTTTTGTTTCTTTTTGATCTTTCGGGTTCTTTTGGGGGTTCTTTTGGATTCTTTTTGATGTTTTTTCATCTTTTTCCATCCTTTTCATTTTGCGTCATCTTTTTTGATTACTTCAAGTTCTGTTTAATCCCTTTAAATCCTTTTTTAATCTTTTTAAATCCTTTTTAATCTTTTTAAATCTTTTAATCTTCTTTTTCGAATTTTTCCCTTTTTGATTCTTTTTTGCTTTTCCGGCTATCTCCGTTTTCCTTCTTTTTTGCATGTGTTTTTTTCTCCTTTTTCTTTTTTTTTATTCTTTTTTTGTCTTCTTTTTGTTTGCTCCTTCGTATCCTTTTTATGTCCTTCTTGTCTCCTTTTTTTCTCCATTTTATCTCTTTTTTATTTCCTTTTTCATCTCCTTTTTTTCTTATTTTTTTGCCTCTCTTTTGACATCTTTTCGTCTTCCTTTTTGTGTCTTCTTAGATTTCTCTTTTTGTCCTTTTGTTTCTTTTGACTCCGTTTTATTTATTTTAATGTCTTTTTAGTCCTTTTTGTTTTTTTATTATTTCTTTTTTCTTTTTGTTTGTTTTGCTGCTGACTTCAGATAGGTTTCCTTACAAGAGCAGCAGAAGGATCTTTCGTCAATTTGCTGCTGCCCCACACCGTCACGGAAGAAGGCCAGCTCATCTTCTGAGGGTTTAGGGTTTAGGGTTTAGGGTTTAGGGTTTAGGGTTTAGGGTTTAGGGTTTAGGGTTTTGCCTGCACACAGCAGCGTGTGGGGCTGCTGCGACAAAGGCGCGCAGACACCGCAGCAGCAGCAGCAGCAGCAAATGCAGCAACAGCAGCAGCCGCAGGCTGCTGCAGCTTCTTGCCTGCGCTGCATCTCGAAACCCTAAACCCTAAACCCTAAACCCTAAACCCTCTCCGGCTGGCGAGAAGGAAACAACTTCGAGGGCCTTTTATTTCTACTAGCCTGTACTGTGCATAAACATGAAAACAAATTCAAGCAACATTTTTAAATCTAAATAAAATATTAATCAAAATAAAATTAATCAAATAAATATTAATCAAAATAAAATTACTTTGCCCAACAAACGCATGCAAACTCAAGTGTACATACACCCTAGCGCCCCTTTGCCACCTCTTGCTGCCCCTCTCCCCAGCTAGCTACACAGCTAGCTGGCCGTATAGCTAGCTACCTGTCCATTTGGCTAGCCAGCTAGCTAGCTAGCTATCTAACTAGCTATCTAGCTAACTGCTCAGCTAGAGGGATAGCTAGCTAGCTAAATGACTATCTATCTAGCTAGCTGAGGAGCTAACTAACTACTTAGAGAGCTAGCAAGCAACTGAGTTAGAGGGCCAGCTAGCCAGATAGCTCTGTACCGCCTCAGCTAGCTGGCTAGCTAGCTGGGAGGTCCGTGGCTAGCTAGCTGAGTGGCTAGCTGGCTACTTAGGCAGCTAGCTGTAAGCATGTATAGATTTCTGTGTATAGACACTGCAACCCTTTTGGCTTATTTGTCTACACTTTTGTTATTTCTTCTTTATTAGTTTTGTCTTTAAATTCATTTGACTAGTCTTTGTTTATTTACTTTGTGTTTGTTTGAATATTTATTTACTCTCTTTTTGCTTTTTTCTCTATTTATTTTTTCCTTGTTTGTGTTTATTTTGTATTTTTTGTCCCGAATTGTCTATTAAATATCTCTATTTATTCATATCGTCTTTATTTGTTTATTTGATTTTTATTTCTTCACAGTTTCTTTATTTGTTAAATTCTATTCTCTGTTTGTCTAAGTGCCCAGTTCTCTCAGTGTACGTACTGTTTAAAAGGTCCTTTGACTCCTTTGTTTGTTTTATTTAGTTGGTTTGTTTTATTTAATTAATTAATTTTATTTATTTAGGTTCCAAAGGCTCCAGAACAAATCCGAAAAATGAATTCGCCGAAACTGCCGGCGGCTAAAAGCGCCGCCTCTGGGGTGTACGTACACCTCAGCTTCGCCGCCCGTTCTGTGTTCAGAAAATGCAAATTAAAAGTTCCATTTCATCTTTTTTCTTCGAAAATGATGTCCATTAATGTTTTAGAAGGCTTTTATATTTGCATAAATGAAATACAAATATAAATGCGAGCCGGCGGAGCAGCGAGGCTCTTCGGGTGTACAGACACCCGCGCCCAGCCATGCATGCATGCAAATGCGCGGAAATGCATTTGTATTAATGCCAGCAGAGTGGCATCACTTTTTAATCAATATAAAGAGCAAAGATGGCATTTTTAAAAGCAAAAAAAGCAAAAATGGCACTTTTGCAAACTCAATTTGCTTTCCCATTTTCTCCAGACGAAATCCAACACCTGAACGCGAGCCCGCGCGTTCGCGCGCTGTACATACACCCCGCGAGCTCTCCGCCCTCTCCCTAAACAATTCAAACAAAAGCCTCCCCGCCTCCTCCGCCGCCTCCGCTGCTGCTGCTGCTGCTGCTGCTGCTGCTGCTGCTGCTGCTGCTGCTGCTTCACTTTCTGCGGGCCTGCAGCAGCTTCTCCCTGAGAGGCGACGCGGGCGGGAGGCCCCGGCCGAAGCGCCTATAGGCCTCATCGGCTTCTCTTTGGGCATAAGGCAGCAAAGGGTTTTCGGCCTTGAGGGGCCCCCAGTGGGGGTTTTTTCTGAACTCTCCTTCGATATATTTGGCCCTGGCTTCTGCGTCTTCATCTAATTTTTTTCTCAAGTTTTTAACTTTTTCTAACTGCATATATTGTTCTAACATTCTTCTTCTTCTCTCCGCCTCTGGCAATTTATTGCCCTCAGCCACCCACGCGTTCAGCCGCGCCTGCACTGCTGCTGCTCTTCCGGGGGTTCGCTGCACGTGCTGCAGCTGCTGCTCGCGCTGCCGCTGCTGCTCCCTTTGTTCCAGCTGCTGCCGGATTGCTGCTGCAGTGCCAGCAGCAGGTTGTTCCCAGCGGCGGGCCAGGGGGCCCCCCGCTGCAGGGGGGGCCCCCAGGGAGGTGCGCCGCCGCTTCGCGGGGGGGGGGCCCCCCGAGGTCGAGGGGCCCTCTCCTGCTGCAGCAGGGGGGGCCCCCTCTGCTTGTTCAGCGGAAGCCAAGTAGGCCTGGTACCCTCGGGCCCCCCGGGATGCGGAGTCGCTGCTCAGGGGCCCCTCTCCTTCTGTGGTCACTCGCAGCCTCACAGACCCTCCGGGGGCCCCGGGGGCCCCGGGGGCCCCGGGGGCCCCCCCGGGGGGCCCCCCGGGGGCCCCCACGGGGGCCCCCTCCGGGGCCCCCTCGGGAGAGCCCTCGGGGCTCTCGGGGGCCCCCCCCTCCCCGCCGGGCGGGGAGGCCTCCAGGAAGGCCGCCAGGTCCTCCTCTTCTGCTGCTGCTGCTGCTGCTGCAGCAGAAGGCTCTTCAGCCTCCGGGGCCAGGGCAAAGCGAGGCAAAGGCGGGGAAATTGCTGCTGCTGGAGGCGCAGCAGCAAGCCAAACTCCTGCTGCAGCGCTAGCCAGGCAGCAAACGAAGGTGACTCGAGCCATGGTGGCAGCTGGAGAGTAAAGCAGCGAAAAAAGAAAGAAGTTGGGTTTTATTTCCTTTTCAAATCTAAAAAACTAAAACCTCATTTATAGTTCTTCTGAAAGGAACAATCTGCTGCTCCTGCAGCGCAGCAGAGCCTCGCGGCTGTCAAGCGGCAGCGAGGCCGGCGGGGCGGCAGCAGCTGCGCTGCAGCGCTGTCTGAGTGGCTGTTTGGGGTTTTCCGGAAATTTAAAACTTAATTAGCTTTTTAATCTTATTTCTTTCTTTATTTTACTTTTATTTCAACAGCTAGACACTCCAGTAGGCCCCAACGGCCCGTATCTGTCCGCGGCGCCGCCGCCGCCGACGCGCGCACAGCCGTCGGGTGTCTCGGCAGCTCGACGCCGCGGGACTTCTGCCGCTTAAACCCATCCAATTTACTTTTTCTTTTTTTTATTCTTTTTATTTTATTTAATTTTAAATATTTGAAGGCGTCTCTGCGCATTTGCGGCCCCGAAGCGCCAGAAGGCGGCCTGTCGATACACCCGGCAGGTGACCAGCGCAGGCCTCTCTTCTTCTTCTTTTGCAAATCCGATCTGCAGCTTCCAAAGGTCCTTTTAAAGCCTCTCCGAGTTTTTTTTAAATTCATTTCTCTAATATTCCTTTTTGTCTCCAATTAAATCAAATAAATAGCTCCAAACCCTAGACCCTAAACCCTAAACCCTAAACCCTAAACCCTGCGACGCCGCGGGCTCGCCGCAGAGTCGCAGCGGGCTGACGAAGGCTTTGAGGTATTTTGGACCAGATCATCTCAGAAAAAGAAATTAATTAATTAATTAATTAATTAATTAATTAATTAATCAATTAATTAATTAATTAATTAATTAATTGGAAGAAAAGACATTTAAAGGCCTTTTTCAAGTTAGCAGCGAAGAAAACGGAGCCAAAAAGCCTTTTCGGCAAACAGCTGCAACACGGCCATTCAGTGGAAGCAGTTTTGTTAAAATTAAAATTTCAATTTTTCTTTTTAATTTTATTTTACTTCAAAATCATTTTAAATGCATTTAAGAAAACGGGAAAGAATAAACAAAAACAAATTTAAAAGATCCTGTAGTGAATTAAACAGAGAAGTCCCACAGAGGCACCAGCTGGCTCAGGAGGACCACTGGTCACCTGCTATGGCAGCAGCAGCAGCAGCAGCAGCAGCAGCAGCAGCAGCAGCAGCAGCAGCGGCATCGCCACCGTATGAACTCCAGGAGCAGCAACAGCACAGTGGGAACTTTAAGTGGAAAAGAAACGGAGGACCGCTGCTGCTGAGGCTGCTGCTGCTGAGGCTGCTGCTGCTGAGGCTGCTGCTGCTGCTGCTGCTGCTGCTGAGGCTGCTGCTGCTGCTGCCCCTGCGGTTCCTGCTGCGGCTATTCCTGCTGCTGATGCTGCTGATCGTGATGGACGCTGTGTCGCTGCTGCTGCTGTAGCTGCTGCTTCTGATGCTGCTGCTGTGTTGTTGTTGGTGTTGCTGCTGCTTTGCTGCTGCTGCTGTGTTGTTGTTGCTGCTGCTGCTGCTTTGCTGCTGCTGCTGTGTTGTTGTTGGTGCTGCTGCTGCTTTGCTGCTGCTGCCGCTCCTGGTGCGCTGTTCCTGGTGTCCCGTCCATACGGTGGCAATGCCACTGCTGCCGCTGCTGCTGCTGCTGCTGCTGCTGCTGCTGCTGCTGCTGCTGCTGCTGCTGCTGCCGTAGCAGGTGGTGACCAGTGGTCCACTTGAGCCGGCCAGTGGCTCTGTGGTCCTGTAAGCCCAACTGCTGGTTTTTCTGACTTGTTTTTTAAGAGACCATTTTAAATGAATTCTTTTTTTATTCATTTAAACATTTTTACCTCTTTTGTGGAGTCTTTGCCACTTTTTGTAATTTTCTTTTTTAATTAAATTCATAGCAAAGAAAACCCCACAAGCGGCAGGCAAGAGGGGCTTATCTGCGGGATCGGTGGGATCGGGATCGATGGGATCGGGATCGCGATCCCACCTGCTGCTGCTTCTCTCCTCGCTTTTAGCGGGCCCCCTTGTGCTGCTGCCTCTCAAGTAACTGCTGCTGAGGGGGCCCCCCAGAGGGGCCCCCAGAGGGGCCCCCAGAGGGGCCCCCAGAGGGACCCCCAGAGGGGCCCCCAGAGGGGCCCCCAGGGGGGCCCCCAGAGGGGCCCCCAGAGGGGCCCCCAGAGGGGCCCCCAGAGGGGCCCCCAGAGGGGCCCCCCGGGCCCCCAGAGGGGCCCCCAGAGGGGCCCCCAGAGGGGCCCCCAGAGGGGCCCCCAGAGGGGCCTCCTTTTAGTGCGCAGCAAAACGCTTTTTAGGGTTTAGAGGTTGTCTAAATGGCAGTCTCATAACTAGTTAGCTGCAGCAAGCCGAAGCAAGCTGCAACGAGCTGTAGCTAGCTAGACTTTGCTACAGCTAGCTACAGCTAGCTACATATAGCTACAGCTAGCTACAGCTAGCTGCAGCTAGCCACGCCCGGGGCCTTCCTCGCTGCGCATTGGGCTGGAAATCTTCTCCGGGCGTTCTTTAGTCGCCTTCCCCTTTTAAATAAATAAATAAATAAATAAATAAATAAATAAATAAATAAATAAATAAATAAATAAATAAATAAATAAATAAATAAATAAATAGTTAAATAACTGAATAAATAAAAAATAAACAGTAAAAGAACAAAAACAAACTGCAATAACAACTGCAGACTGTAAAAGAAATGCAACAAAGATCTCTCGGCTTGCAGGGGGCCCCTGGGGGGCCCCCCCTTAGGGGGCCCCCAGGGGGCCCCCCAAAGCTATTCCGCTGCAGCTAGAAGCCAAATGGCTTTTTTCTGTCTTTGTTTTGGGGGCCCCCAGAGGGTACCAACAGGAAAGAAGAGCTATGGGGGGCCCCCAAGAGGGGCATTATTAGGAGCCCTCCGAAGGGGCCCCTCATAATCCCTATTTGGGGCCCCCAGATTTCTCATAGGGGTCCCCAGGGGGCCCCCAGGGGGCCTCTATGGGGCCCCAGGGGTCCCCTAGGGGTCCCCTAAGGGGCCCCCAGGGGCCCACTAGGGGGCCCTCAGGGGGGCCCCCAGGGGGGCCCCCAGGGAGCCACTAAGGGGCCCCTACGGGGCCACTAGGGGGCCCCCAGAGGACCACTAGGGGGCCCCTAGGGGTTACCTAAAGGCAGCAGGCTGCAGGCGGCCCAGCCAGCTGCTTATGTCTGGGATTTTTCATCAACTGATCATTAATTGAGTAAATAAATAAAAGTTTGAAACAAAAATTAAATTAAAATTCCTTTTTAGTGCAACACCGGGCAAAGTAGCTGATTGGTTCTCTGGTTCTGAGGTGTACGTACACCTCGGACAAAGCCGAGGGCCGGCGGCCTCGTTCATGTTCGTTTTCTTTCTTTTCTTTACATTATTTACAAGAAAATATACTTTTAAAAAGTAAAAAAGAATAATTTATTTAATTTAAAAACCCACAAATAGAATTGCCAAGCTATAGAGCGATCAAACGGGGCTGCAGCCACAGAGGAGCCGGGGGCCCCCGGGGGCCCCTCGGAGGCCCTGGGGGCCCCCAGGGGCCCCCAGGGGGCCCCTCAGGGGCCCCTGAGGCTTTGAAATAAAGAAGCAGCAATGATGAATGGATTGGAGCTAGGTTTTGCGATAATATTCCCTCTTTTGCCACAAACCCTAAACCCTAAACCCTAAACCCTAAACCCTCTTCGCTTGGGGGGCCCCAATGGGGCGGCCCGTGGTACCCATGAGTCTCTTAGCCAGCGCGGGTACGGGGAGGATCTTGCATGCTGCAGCAGCAGCAGCAGCACCTGCAGCAGCAGCAGCAGCAGCAGCACCTGCAGCAGCAGCAGCAGCAGCAGCAGCAGCTCCTTGTGGTGTTAGCTGCTGCTATGCCTCCCGCCGGCCTTTTGGGGGCCCCTTTGGCGCCCCTAAAAGAGGCCTAGGGCCCCACCTTGCTGCTGCTTCTTTGGGTGGTGGCCGCTTTCCCGTTGCTGCTGCTGCTGCTGCTGCTGCTGCTGCTCCTGCTGCTGCTGCTGGTTGTCTGTCTCCTTTTGCTGCTGCTGCTGCTGCTCCCTTATCTGTCACTTCGTTGAGTTCTTTTCAATCCGCGCGGTTTCTTGTTGAAATTAAATTCAAAAAAGCCCCCAACAAAGACACAGACCAAATACCCTTCAAGGTTAGTGCTGCTGCTGCTGCTGCTGCTGCTGCTGCTGCTGCTGCTGCTGCTGCTGCTGCTGCTGCTGCTGCTGCTGCTGCTGCTGCTGC